ACTTAGCTTGTGAACGGGATTAAATTTGAAGTGTGGCTCAAATCCAGCACGTGGATAAACTTGCCCCAAATGGACCAGCCTATTGATTTTCACTTCGGCCCAAAACCTTCCTGACCTATCTTTCTCGTAAGGCCAGTTGACTGTCCTAACCTTGGAGATGACCTTGCCATCCAGGTCTTTCATCTGTTGCCGCCGGAAACGGAGGCGAGTGAGAGAGGCGACCGTCGGGCAGAAGGAAGATGCACCGCCCACGCTCACAGTCGTTGTCGGATGAGCGAGGGGTGAAGAGTGACCTGCTGACCCCGTCCGTCGTCAAGCCCTGCTGGTTCTCGCGCTCGGACGTCGCTTGCTCGGGCTGCTAGGCACTTGGAAACATCATAGGTTTCATCTCTGGGCGTTGCCGGAGAGGGAAAGAAGGTTCGTCGGAACTGCTGCCGCTGCTTGTGTCGCTTCCAGCGGGGCTACAGCTCCGCGACACGGCCCGGTGTGGGTGAAGAGCCCTTTACCCGAACACAAGAATGATTAAGGACAGCTCTCCGACATAGAGCTGCGAGTTGGGACGAATACGGACGAGTGGCGAACGGCGATGCCGCGACAGAGGTGGTGGCCAGATTGGGATGCCTGCCAGATCTCTGGCATCGATTGCATGCCGACGGAGGTGCCAGGCCAGTTACGGGGCGATGTCGCCTGAGACACGGCGGCACGGTGACGGTTGCTCCAGCCAAGTCTGTTAAATCTTAGATCTCCCATTCCAGGACTCATAATTTTCCTTCTTTGTTGAATTTTCAGATTGTTTTGGATGAATTTTCTCCATGATTGTGAATTGCAAACCTGAAAAATTGCTAAAAACTTCATTCTTTGTCCATTTTTTCTGAAATTTCTTGATTGATTCCTGCCCAAGTGATGAGAGGCAATAGAGGCTCTCAATGAAAGCACCAATGTTGGTCCAAAATAGGACGCTCGTAGGCTTTTTAGGAAAGCTACGTAAGAACACTCAAACAGGAATTAGGAAAGTACGAATATGGAAAGTTGCAAAGGGATTTAGTTGCCAGAAATAGCATATCTATTATTTGACTCGAACTTGCCTTTTATAGACGATTAAAAATGGTAACTGCCAAAGATACTAATGGCTAACTAATTACAACATTAATACGGAATTAAATACATAATTAATTGCTTGACCGTTACTCTTCCGGGCTGAGAGGTCGATCGGACTAGCAGGCTCCCCGCTGGACTGGCAGGCAAGCTCCAGGTTGTGGACTTGGATCCACTGGTCCTAGTTCGGGGCTTGGGCTGATTAGGCTCTGGGCCTAGTTCCATAACTCCATCACCAAGAATTGAAGAATTAGCACTGGCACTGGCAGAGGGTCTGGAAGAGTGTTGTTCCCAATTAAAAGTTTCTGGACTTGGAGTGGAAGATTGCTGGTTGAAGGGATGAATAGGACGAGACGACGAGTTGGAGGATTGTAATGTTGATATGTGTGCTCTTTGGAAGTATAGGAAGGTTGATAAGGAGTCTGAGGTTGATAGTATGGATTTGGTGAATGTGAGTTCTAGTGGTTTGAAGGTCCAGAAGTAGAATTGGCATAGGCTAGGTGAGGGTTTGGATTGGTAAAGGCAGGATTATAGCGATGATAGCATATTAAGGCATGATGGCCTGGTTTTCCACAGACCTGACAGATTACAGAACTACGGCCTCCAAAACGACCAACTCGACCTCTGTTAGAGCCACCACGACCTCTTCCTCTCTAGGAATTAGTGTGATTAGGGTTATTAGGATTATTGAACTGTGCAATGTTTGCAGATGAGGTTTCCGATGTTGTAGGAGCTTCAGAGTTGGTGTTTTGAGGCAAAGCATCAACACGAGCAATATTAGCAGAGAAGATGTTTTAACACGAGCAATATTAGCAGAGAAGATGTTTTGTGAGGTGGACTCGCGAAGCTTTTTCAGCCGCATTTCTTTAAGTAAAAGTAGAGGTTCGAGAATGTTTCGAGAAGTTACCGATGATACAAGAGACTCATACTCCTCTGGAAGGCCTTCGAGAATTACGTTGATGTGGTCTTTGGTAGATATCGGTTCTCCAATCGAGATGAGGTTATCAACAATTGTCTGAATTCGAAGAAGATATTCTGAAATCGATCAATCTCCTTTTCCAGTGTTATAGAGCTCAGACTTGAGCTGTGTGGCCCTTGCGACAATAGATGACCGGAAGAATTTCCGAATTGTACTCCAAAGCTCGTGTGAGTGTTGACAATGGATGACTCGGGCATGGAGTGATTGAGATAGAGAAGAAGGCAGCCATGAAAATAACATTTGGTCCTGTTGTTCTCATACAGTATACGCATCATTGATCGTCCTGTTTTCTTCATCATCGCCATTGATAAACTGATCAGGAATCTTCAGATTTTCCACAAATTTGAACAATTTGTGTGCTCGAATAACTGATTCAATGTGATGCTTCCAGAGAAGATAGTTGTTCGAATCAAGTTTGATTGGGATAGGATGTGTAAAAACTGCTGGAAACGTAATGTTTCCCGAAGCTGGAGAGGAGGCAGATGTTGAACTTGAGTTCATCAGGGTAGATCGAGCAGAAGCTCTGATACCATATTAGAATATTAACAGAATGCAATGAAGAAGAAGATTAATGATTTTCATTATGATCAGAATACCAGTACAGGGCTATTTAAAACAGCTGAAGCTCTAACCGATTTATAACAAACAACAGTACAGTTATAACTAACTATAACAACTAGACTTTAATACTAGGCTATTACAAATAGGCGTGCATATAGTATTCCTAACATTATAAATATAAAAAATTTATTACGTATTTTGTTTACTTGATGACTTAATTGTTTATTTATATATATATAAGTAAAATAAGTTAGATTTATTAATTTGTTTGTTGAACACTTATACATATATCGAGTTTATTACTTACTCATTACTATATACTACGTATAATAAAGTTAGCTTTGTTTACTTTGTTTATAATAAATATAAAAAATTTATTACATATTTTGTTTAATTGATGACTTAATTGTTTATTCATATTATAAATAAGTAAAATAACTTAGCTTTATTAAATTGTTTGTTGTACACTTGTACATCAAACAAGTGTCCTTAAGATGACTTTGGAGACAGCAAAGTGGAGGGCGCATATTCTTGTGGACAATTGATTTCTTTTCTCTCTCGTTTTTTTATCTTTTATCTTTTTTATCTTTCTATATTCTTGTGTTATTTTTATCTTTTATCTTTCTTAAGTTTTTTATTTTTTTTATCTTTTATCTTTCTTAAGCTCTTTATTTTATTTATCTTTTATCTTTCTTATGTTCTTATGTTATTTTTATCTTATATTTTTTATCTTATCTATGTTATTTTACTTTATCTTCTTATTCTTCTTATCTTTCTTCTCTTGTTGGCTGTGATATCATGGATTGATTTATGTTAGCCGCATGCTTGTCAAGGCGTTGTCTAGAGGCTGACTATACGTCCTGGCGCTAGGGATAGCTCGATGGACTACCTCGCCTCGCCAGAAGAAGAGAAGGTGTGCCAGTCGTCGTCCAGTCATCGTCCGGGCGCGATGATGGCGACAAGTCGCGTCTTTTCCCAAGTTAAACAGCCACAAGCCCAGATTCCCCAGAAATAAAATAGATTTAGGCCTTTTAATTTAATTAAAGTTTCAGTCTTTTTAATTAATTAACAATAAAGCCCAAACTCCAAAGCCCCAAACATGTTGAAGCTAGCTGGAAGACGCGGCTTGCGATGACATCTGCGAACCAATAAAAACCTCTCGCGATGACGATCGGTTAGCAATGGCAAAGTAAGAGAGACGTCTAGCGACCGCGATGAGCCCTGTTTCCCAATGGCGTCTAGGGTTCCTTGATTGGCCTTGGGAACGACGGCCATTCTGCTGGACCATTAAATTGCGCATCTCCACAATCGTTGTTTAATTTTTCGCAGCTCCTCACTATCGCGTTACACCTTGCGCTCTGTCGAGTAACAAGCAAAGCATTTACGGCGATTACGGGCGATAGGAATCGCGCTCTGATACCAAATGATAGGTTTCCGGCCAATTCACTGTAATTTCAGTAAGCTAATTATGGAAGAAAGAGAATACGTAGCAATGGAGGTCGTTGTATACAAAAAAAGACTCTTTATAAAAGAGAGAAAAAATACAAAGGCAGTTAAAGAGTGCCAACTCTCCAAGTCCCAACCCAAGATAATTCCAGCCTACCTCTTATCCCCCCCTTACCTTCTATTTATACTACTCTTATTATAAATATTTTTATTATTATTATTATTCTCAGCCTAATCTGCATGGATCCGATCAGTTTGCAATCAGGGAGATTTCTTTTTTCTGATTGACAAATTGAAAATGGATGTTAAGGAAATGATGATAGGGGCAAGACGACAACGATCTGATACCAAATTGTTACGGTCATGGTGGGGAGATGAAAAGAAGAAGTTTAAAAAGCTATGTAATTGCAAAAATAACTCGGCTTACAACCCTAGACAAGGATGTGTCTCTCTGTTCCACTAAGCGCACAAGAACAATTATTTTTTCCAACATTGATGATCTTTTTAATGAATAAACTAAGAACCTCTATTTGTTGTACTTCCAGTAGCCTTGGTGACCAGTATTAGAACACCCAAAACCTATTACATTGCATCTATTAAAAGTATTAACTAAAATATAATACCTACCTATACTATATGAAAATAATAACAACAACAATAATAATAATAGTTGTTATTATTATTAGTATTATACTCCCTCCGTCCCTCAATACTTTGCCAAGTTTGACCGGCACGGAGATTAATAAAGTAAAAACTGTGCGGTTGAGTTTTGTGCAGAGGAGAGAAAATTAACTGGAACCACAAATTCTTTACTTAAATGGGAAGGTGGCAAAGTTAGTGGGACGTCCAAAAAAGGAAAGTTGACAAAGTTACAAGGGACGGAGGGAGTATAAGACTTCCTCCGCTCATATCACATTACCTCCACTAGCTCTCTTGTTTTTGTGGAGGCATCAGAACGTGCTCTCACCATTTCCTCCTAATAAGATTAATAATTGGAAACAAAGTCACAAAATTGAAGTTTAAAGCAAACATAACTGATTTTGGGATGTCTTAGATAAGCAAACCTCAGCAACTTGAAGAGCCCGCTCAGTTTTTTGTAATTTAGCCTTTTGCTCCTCGATGATATTCTGAAGCTGCACATTGAAAAGAAGTCAGAACCACATAAAATTATATTTTATAATTTTAAATCGATAAGTGACACAATTTCCAAAATTATACACTTCATATTTTATCATTAAGGCATGTTTTCTTAGATCGAATTGTTGGTTGTGTCTATTTAGATCTAGTGTGATATGTTTAAGTCTGGTCAGGTCTTGTATAGTTTGTTTAGGTCTGGTTTTAGTTGTAATACTATACATTGTGATACACACACAAATGGTTGTAATGTGTAATCCAGGAAAAGAAAAGGCAGTCTTTGGTCCAACGAAACTCTTGGAACTTGTATAGAAAGAAGTGCTTATTCATTAAAAATCTATCACTAATTTTTTAATTGTTCCTTGAAATCTAGACAAGGTCAGACGCGCACACACCACCTTGTGTTCCATAAGACAGAGACGTTCTAAAGCTGTATTGATCTCAATCAATTTTCTTCTTTTTATCTCCCAACCACGCAGACAAGAGAGAACATATCTTAATAATTCCCAACAAGAACCAGAGTGGCATATTACCATTACCGCTTTTAATGAAGAAGGTAAAAATAAATATATAGTGTATAGCGACGTTCCCAAATAGGATTGCCCAAATATTTCCACTTTTTCCCACAGAAAATTTTCAAAAGAAGTTTGATGTCATTTTCAGAAATTGCAATGTAATAATAGACTACATATATCCAGTAGACAGGATAAATGAATAAATTAACAAATCTACTACTTCGAAATATGTTGCACGAGAGATAAAAATATATAACATTCAAAAGATTTTTTAGAAACTAAATGCAAATGATAGAAGCTTACTGTCAGTATTTTTTCATTTGATTCAGTCAGTTGCTTCTTTGATACAATTTTCTGGGCTTCAAGCACTTTATTCTGATCATTCTTCAACTCAATTTCCTTTTGACAGCTCTCAGCCTGTTTTTCTAAAAGATCAGCTCGTGCTTGTGCTTTTCCAACCTGATCACGAGCATCCAATGACCCTTTTTTCTATGAAAATTAAAAATCCAAAGCAACGTATATGAAAACAAGCTTGATACAAGGGAAATGTTTGAAAATGAAAAAACTAGAAAGATGTCTGCACAGATATATGGCTCACCTGCAGAGAAGAAATTTCTGCTTGCAATGACGCGATTCTATCTGATTTCACTTTTATGATGTTCTCCTTGTCAAGAATCGCCTGATCCTTTCCGTTCAGTTCTTGACCCTTCTCTTCAACGTATGATTCTACATGTGGAATTGAAATTAAATATACTAATGATTGATTACAATTTCTTGAAGACACGTGAGAGGAAAAGGAAAGCACATTAACATCTGTCTTGCATCCCGGGAGAAAACATGACAAAGTTTTTGTCGGGAACTACTAAAATAGTTTTTCTCTTATGTGCGTACTAATAATATCTGACTCCACCATGAGACCATTCTTTGGTATCATGCTTGTCCCAAGCCAAGATAAAGGAGGAGGGTGTTGTGGTAAGCATGTGACAGCGAATAGTATTACTTAGTCACATCACATGTCATGAATCAAAATATGAATATCACTACATATAGGTTTTCGCAAAAGCGACGCATCATCTCTCTGTCAGGGGTGGTGTCAAATATGTAAGGGAGTGCTATACTTTATAGGCCTGAGTGTAATTGTAAGAATGCTAAAGTTGCTAAGTCGTCGCCCAAAAGCGGTGTGCCACCCCTTAATGCCCGGTGATGATGTCAAATATGTGAGGGCATGATGGGAGTCGAGGTGTTGATAAGAACAGAAGGCGGAGTCTCTTATGGGAAGATCTGATAGGATGCCAGCTCAGCAACCTATTAAATATTTTAATAAGGTTTATCAAAGGAAGAGGGGAAGGGCAGTTTAGTAAATTTGCTCATAAGTTAGTTATTTACTTTTGTCCCTGCGTGGACACTTTTACTATAAATAGTATGTTAGTAGCTAATAAATGCAGGCTGATTTTAGTTGGATGTCAGAACTTTTGGAGGTTGGGCCCCTCGAATTTGCCCTGAGCACTGTATCCTCTTGTGATCTGTTCGGTTGGATAATAAAGTTCCTGATCATCTCTCCCATTTCTTACTGTGTTTTCTATCTATTTTGACCTTTCCTATCACTGGTATCAGAGCGGTCGCTCTTGGGGGAATCGGAAAGTGAATCCCGACAGCAAGACAGTCTGCGTACAGAGGTGGATGGTTAGAACGAGGTCAAAAATGGAAAACCGGGTTGATACCTTGGAACGGGAACTCGCAAACATCGCAGCTTCAATAGCGACGATGAACGAACAAATTCAGAGCAACGTAGCAACTTCGATGGCCGCCATGAACGAACAGATCCAGAGCCTTCGCGATCAGCCCCGGGGAAGATCGCGATCACAACCTCACCACCATTCGCGATCGACCCACAGCCCTGAGCAATCGAGAGGTAATTTTGTACATTCTCAAGCTCACTCTCGACGGATACATACTGGCAGGAAGGTAGACCTACCTCTATTTAATGGGGAGGGTGCTTACAACTGGATCGTGAGGATGGAGCGCTATTACCGACTGAACCAGATAGATGAGGAAGATGAGGTAGAAGTCTCTGTAGTTGCGATGGAGGATCGGGCCTTAAACTGGTTTCAGTGGTGGGAACACCAAGCCGAGGAGAGAACTTGGGAAAATTTGAAGGATGCGGTGATCCGAAGGTTTCAACCTGATTCAATACAGAATCCGTATGGGCCTATGCTGAGCTTGAAGCAAACGGGTACTGTGCAGGAGTACAGGGATGAATTCGAGATGGTTATAGCTCCCCAGAAAGACGTGGAAAGAGGTATTCTGAGAGGCATCTTCATTAATGGTCTCAAGGAGGATGTTAAAACTGAACTAAAACTGTATAATTCCAAGTCCCTATCTGCAATCATGGATAGGGCATTGTTGATTGAACAACGAAATGATGCTGTGTATTGGAAGCCTAATGGGGAGGACAGAGCAGGTGGGAAGGATAAGGGCACCATGAATGTCAAACCACCAGTATGGGGAGAAGGATTTAAGGCAAAAAGTGGACAACCATGGTCCAACACTGGAAGTAAAAACACTGCAGATAACAAAGGCAAACAGCCTTGGTACACTCCTGCAGGGGTAAGGGTGACTGAAATCAACCCCTCAGGTATCAAGCGGGTAGGGCCACAACTTTCTCAAGAGGAATATCAAGACAGGAGTAGGAGGGGACTCTGTTTCAAGTGCGGGGAAAAGTGGAGTAAGGAACACACCTGCAGACTGAAAAATTACAAACTGATATTAGTAGAAGATTCTGATGAAGAGGTGGAGTCAGAATCAACTGAACCTGAACTAGCTGAGGAAGAGGAGATCAATATGGAGTCAAAAACCATGCAGCTTTCTGTGATGAGCAGGGAAGGGATACCTTCCATGAAAGCTTTTAAGGTGAGAGGCAGTCTGAAATGGAGCCAAGGGGAATTATCAGTAGAAGCACTGATTGATAGCGGGGCCACTCACCAGACCATTGCTGGGTACAAAGTGCAGGTAGGGAACAGTGATAAAATCTCGAATAATGGCAGGTGTGAAGGGTTGAGCTTAAGGCTGCAGGACACCACTATTAACCAGAAGTTCTATGTATTAGAATTAGGGGGTACTGATTTGGTTCTTGGCATGGAATGGCTGACTACCTTAGGGGATGTGGAAGTGAATTTCAAGAAGCAAATCATCACATGGCAACAATTGGGAGTAAGGCAATCCATCCAAGGGGACTCTCAGCTCAATTCACTTGAAGTATCTTTGCAGACCATGACCCAGATCATACAGGACAATGGGGATGGATATCTTATCTTATGTGAAGGCATTCTTACAGAAGAAAAAGAAGAAAATATGAAGGATCAGGGGTGGGAGGAATTGTTGGCAGAATTCAAAGAGGTAACCACTCCTTTGCAAGGGTTACCACCCCACAGAGCATGTGATCATGCTATCAACATCAAGGAGGGAGCTGACATACCCAACATCCGACCCTATAGGTACCCCAGTAGCAAAAAAATGAAATAGAGAAGATCATCAAAGAAATGCTGCAGTCTGGAATTATTCAACACAGTAACAGCCCTTATAGCAGTCCTATATTGTTAGCAAGAAAGAAAGATGGGGGGTGGAGGTTCTGTGGAGACTATAGGGCCCTAAATCAGATTATTGTCCCTGACAAGTTCCCCATACCCATTATTGAAGAGCTGTTGGATGAGCTAGGAGGTGCCATAATCTTTTCAAAACTAGATCTCAAGTCGGGGTATCACCAAATAAGAATGAAGGAGGCAGATATACAGAAAACTGCTTTTAGAACCCACGAAGGGCATTATGAGTACTTGGTCATGCCCTTTGGGTTAACCAATGCCCCCTCCACTTTTCAGGCTCTAATGAATCAGGTATTGAGACCTTTTTTGAGAAAATTTGCTTTGGTTTTCTTTGATGACATCCTTGTGTACAGCAGATCTAAAGAAGACCACCTTATGCACATGAGAGAAGTGTTATCAGTGTTAAAGGAAAATCAGTTGGTAATTAATTTGAAGAAATGCTCCTATGGAAGGTCCCAATTGGTTTACTTGGGTCATATTATATCTGGACAGGGTGTGGCAGCTGATCCAGCCAAAATAGAAGCCATGCTCAGTTGGCCATTCTGAAGGGTTTAAGAGGGTTTCTTGGGCTGACTGGATATTATAGGAAGTTCGTGAAGAATTATGGTAAACTTGCCTTACCTCTTACCCAATTACTCAAGAAGGACAGTTTCAAATGGGATTCAAATGCCACTACTGCTTTTACAGAACTGAAACAAGTCATGACCTCTCTCCCGGTGCTAGCAGTACCAGATTTCAACAAAAAATTTATACTAGAGACTGATGCATCAGGTACAGGGCTAGGGGCAGTCCTGATGCAGGAAGGGAGGCCCATAGCTTATATGAGCAAAGAACTATCCAAGAAAAATCAGTGCAAGTCAGTTTATGAAAGAGAGCTCATGGCTATCGTTTTAGCTGTACAGAAATGGAGGCCATATCTGTTGGGTAGATTTTTTGAGATCCATACAGATCAAAAAAGCTTAAAGTTTTTGGCTGAACAGAGAATTATGGGGGAGGAGCAGCAGAAGTGGACCTCTAAATTGCTTGGGTACAATTTTACCATCAAGTACAAACCTGGAATTCAAAATAGAGCTGTTGATGCCTTATCTAGAAGACCTATTCTACACTCACTCTCCATTGTCACTTGTCAAGAGTGGGAGGGGTTAGAGGAGGAGCTACATTCTGACCCTAAATGCCATGACCTGATTCAGAAGATCATCTCTCAACCTGATCAACATCCAGACTTTCAGATAATTAAAGGGTTATTGTATTACCAGAAGAAGCTGGTACTGCCTAGGCAGTCCCCTAGAGTACTCAAGGTGTTAAAAGAATATCATGATTCATCAGTGGGAGGTCATTCAGGGTACTTTAGAACCATGAAGAGGATAAGCAATCTGTTTTATTGGTATGGAATGAAGACTGACATCAAAAAATTTGTTGAAGGATGTACCACTTGTCAAACAAATAAATATCAAGCTCTGAAACCCGCTGGATTGCTACATCCCCTGCCCATTCCCAGCAGTATTTGGACAGACATCAGTATGGACTTCATAGGGGGGCTACCAAGATCCCAGGGCAAAGATACAATCTTAGTGGTGGTGGACAGATTGACTAAATATGCACACTTCTTAGCTCTATCTCATCCCTACAATGCCAAGGAAGTTGCAGATTTATTCACAAAAGAGGTGGTTAAACTACATGGATTTCCTAAATCTATTGTGAGTGATAGGGATAGGGTATTTATGAGCTCCTTCTGGTCAGAGCTTTTCAAATTGGCAGGTACCCAGCTTAAATTCAGCACAGCCTACCATCCTCAGACAGATGGGCAGACTGAGGTTGTAAATCGTTGCCTGGAAACATACCTAAGATGCCTCACTGGGAGGAAGCCTAGACAGTGGACCCATTGGCTACATTGGGCTGAATTCTGGTACAACACCAACTACCACTCTTCTTTGAAATTGACCCCTTACAAAGCATTATTTGGGCAAGACCCTCCTGCAGTCATCAGGGGGGATGTGTCTTTAACTGCTGTGGAGGAAGTATCTAAATTGACAGCCCAAAGGAATGCCATGTTGGATGAATTAAAAGGAAACCTAGCTCAAGCTCAGAATCTAATGCAACAACAAGCAAATAAGCATAGGAGGGAGATGGAGTTGACTGAGGGAGACCTTGTCTATCTCAAAATACAGCCTTACAAACTTCAAAGTCTGGCCAAGAGGATTAATCAGAAGCTGAGCCCCAGATTTTATGGCCCCTTTCAGATACTGGAGAAAATTGGCCCTGTAGCTTATAAACTCAAACTTCCAGAGAACAGCCGGATACATCCTGTGTTCCATGTTTCCTTATTGAAGAAGGCCTTAGCACCTACTACTGTTTGCCAGGACCTGCCCAAATGCCTCAATGAAGAACTAGAGCTACAAGTGATACCAGAAGAGGTGGTGGAGAGCAGAAGAACTCAGGAAGGAAAAGAGGTTCTCATACATTGGAAGGGTTTACCAAAATTTGAAGATACTTGGGAAGATGCACAAGTAATGAAGGATCTATTCCCTGAGTTTCACCTTGAGGACAAGGTGAATCTTCAGGGAGGGAGTATTGATAGGATGCCAGCTCAGCAACCTATTAAATATTTTAATAAGGTTTATCAAAGGAAGAGGGGAAGGGCAGTTTAGTAAATTTGCTCATAAGTTAGTTATTTACTTTTGTCCCTGCGTGGACACTTTTACTATAAATAGTATGTTAGTAGCTAATAAATGCAGGCTGATTTTAGTTGGATGTCAGAACTTTTGGAGGTTGGGCCCCTCGAATTTGCCCTGAGCACTGTATCCTCTTGTGATCTGTTCGGTTGGATAATAAAGTTCCCGATCATCTCTCCCATTTCTTACTGAGTTTTCTATCTATTTTGACCTTTCCTATCAAGATCATATAAGGAAGTTGAGATTATGATGAGGAGAAATATCAGCATTATGTGAATGCAAGAAACTACGTGGGTTGGAGAGAATGCATGAGAAACATTATTGTGGCGTGTGACTATATTGAGGATGTGGTGGAAGTCTTTAGGATGAATGACCGCATTATGAGCATTATGTTGGTGATAAGGGATGAGCATTACTTTAGTCCATGGGTTGCGCCATGCGCCATGACAACTATGCTTTAGTTAGTATTCCTAATAGCAGTACTGTAACTGATTTAGAGTTACCCTCGTACTGGTCCCCCGAGACTCTTGGGGCTAGTATAAATAAAGGTATATTCATTAATAATATGATGAAGGCTTGGCGCCAGCTTATCTTGCCTAGGGCAGAAAAGTGCTTCATCTTCATTGATTTTAATCTTGATATTTTCATTCCCAACCACTCCTGTAACAGCCCTTCCGCTTAGAAATAATTCATTATCAAATTCACACTACCGTTGGCGGATACATGGCCCGGTGCACCCTTAATTCGAATTTGGATAGGAGACGGATGAATAATTCCTTTATATAAACTTTCACATACATAGAAAAAACTCAAAAAAGTATTTGATTGAAATATCATGGCCTGGATCGCCCACATCCCCCTAGCTATGCAGTTCATACTACTTAAAATCTTCTTTTTCTTCAACACAATCCTACAAGCTTAGATGTGGAGAGTTCACCTGCCTGCAATGGAATTCTTTGAAAACCTGAGCAAAACAGTAATATGCATTGGTATCACAGGTCGTACTCCCTCCATCCCTCTCGGATTGTCCCGCTTTACCATTTTCTTCTGTCCCACTATTTTTGTCTCATACCTTATTTGGCAAATAACAGTAATTATAAAGACCAAAATATCCCTACTTAACAATTAAAGTTACTGGATTATCTCCACTATTCTGACCCATAACATTTAAAGTTACTGACATATCTACACATACTTATTTTCATATGTATCCCACTACCCGTTCTGTCGTCCCAATTGGAGTCCAGAAATGGAAAAATGGGTTCAAGAATTTGGTTTTGGAGTTCCCTCATTTGCACAGAAGTACGACTAGTTGCATTCTTTCAAATTTACTTTGTTAATTTGAAGAATTGATTTAACAAGTCTGTCCCAGCCAGCTACTTTATGAGGGCTATCTTGGTATGCATGCCACTCCTTATTGTCCCAAACATAGGGGGCAGAGCCGCGGAGGGAGTATTAGCAAACGTTTTTTCCATCTCTTCTGCAGCACTATAAAATAATACTTATCTGTGGAAACTCTTGTGGTTGAAAATGCAGATTTTCATAACAATGCTAAAAACCCCAGTTAGAATATATCATTTTGAAAAGGGATGGTCGGCCAGAGATTTTGAATAGTGATCTCTAAAAGAAGAAAACTTGGAACTACGCCAGCCATAAGTTCAGCTAGTAATTAATTCAAATAACTTAATAGAAGCATAGTTCTAATGACACACAAACCGGTTTAGCAAATAAGTAGATACTCCGTGATAAATCAAAACAAAATTGTTCAATGAATCATATAGATAAAAAACGTCAACAAGGGATTAGCGTGAGAGAGGTTGTGAACTAACCCAAAGTACGGATCTTAGACTTGAGACTTTTCAATTCGGTGGGAAAATCCTGACAATCGGATCTGACGAACTCTACCTCAGTATCGGCACCGATCGGAGTGCATATTAGGGCTACAAGGATGACGAGTACGAAAGTCGGTCCTCGCCAACCCAAACCCCCAGCCATATCTGATAACGAAGACAGCGAAGTTCCTGCGATCGGATGGACACAGTTGCGTCTTACTTCGACGCATGCGAAATTGCGAATGGCTGTTCTTTTCCACAGAAGTAAAACACCAATTCAATCTCTCCTACAGGACATTTCCGGTTAAAGAATTTGCCAAGAATAGGACCAGATTTTTTAAATTCCCTGAGTTAGCATTCCTATTTTACCCTTCCCATAATTATTACTCCTCCCATAATTATTACTCCGTATATTTTTCCTCCTGCTGTACCCATGCTCTGCTTCCCACATCTTCTCTCTCTTCTCCATCTTTTAGTCATTTATCCCTTTTGCAGATCTAAATAATTTAGAGGTGGATTGTTTCTCCCCATCGGTGATCGATCCTTTCCCCCATCTCCCGTCTCTCTCCCTTCACCCCTTCTACACTTCCTCTCTTTCACCTCTTCTTTCAGTCCCAGAATCTGACAGCACATTTTGTTCGAGCTCCAGATCCGGCGGCACCTCTTCTCCCAATTCCAGATCCGACGGCTGCGGTGGTGAGCAGCAGTGAGCAGCGGTGAACTCATAGGTAAGTTTCGAATTCCTTCCTCCTCTTCTTCCTCCTCTTCTTCTTCCTCTTCCTCTTCTTCTTCTTCTTCTTCTTCTATTTCTTCTTCTTGTTTTTCTCAACCTTCTTCTTCTTCATTGTTATGCTTCTCCTCTGATTTTTTATTTATCGGTTTTTATTTTTGAAAACGAAAATTTATGTTTGATATTTCGGTTTTTTATTTTTTTAATATTTTTGAAAACAAAAATTACATCATCATTATTATTTTCCCAAAAAATACCATCTATTGAAAGTTAATTTCAGAATAATATGAGTACCTTTATAATATTATTCCTTTGAATATGAAAAACTCACTTTAAGCATGATTGTCATTTTTATGGCATTATGTCATTTTTTCAATCCGAATATGTCATTTTATTTCAGTCAAGATGGCAATAATGACAATTTTATTTCAGTCAAGATGACAATAATGACAATATGATAACACTTCAATGCAAGATGACACATGCCTTTTTAATATCAATCCTCTAAATGTGAAAAATTCCACTTCGAAAATAAATGCTATTTTTATGGAACTAAAGATATAAAGATGGCAATAATACTCTTATGAAAGACATTAATGCCATTTTTCAAAGTGAAAATGGCATCTTATTTCCCTCAGGATGGCAATATTATCATTAAGATGGAAATACAATTGCAAGATAGTATTTGTATGACAATATTATCAAATCACAAACCAGATCTCAGATTTGGTGGTGGACGGCGGTGAAGCGGTCGGCGGCGACATCAGTGGAGGCGGCCATCATTGACACTGGTGGATAGGGGCGGTGACGTTGGTGGAGGCGTCCAGCGGTGACTCCGGCAGAGGCGGAGATGATGTCAGTGGAGGCGGAGGCGGCGGCGCAGACGTCGCCGGTGGAGGTGGCAGCACTGACGTCGTCGACGGCGGCAATGGCGATGGAGATGGTTGTGGTCCTATTGCAGAGGTTGCCTCATATTGTCTAGGCCTGATATCAGTTTTATTTCTATTATTTTAATTGAATTGTTAATAAATACTAATTTATTCATTAAGGGTAGTTTTGTCTATCTAACTCTTTTTAGTCCTACAGAAGATAACCGAACATTACAGTCCTATTATTGAACTTTTAACATTATTTGGTCTTACTTGGGGAATTATCTCTTCCTTGTAGTTTAAGCTTAAATCTTTGTATACAAAGTTTAGATAACTAATCACTTTGCTATAAAGGGTAAAATAGATTATATTGTTTGGTTATATACTGTATAATTTATTTTTAATTTGCATGCATAGTATTTTACCACTCTTTCCCACATAAAACACTTTACATGGTATATTGTGAAATGTTTTAAAAAAATGTCCTACGGTTTACATTAAATAATCAAACCAAAAAATGTAAACATTTTACGTTTCTTCACTTCGCATGCAAAGTAATTATTTTACATGCTACCAAACACGCTCTAAATACATTGATATTCATTTTCGCTCATATACCGGTGAACTAGTGAAGTACTCATGGTGTCATATCGCAAATTATACCATGGAATCGGCCCAACTTACGCATGGTGTGCCAATCCCAAAACGGTGTCGTTTAGTTTAATAAACATTAGGTTGACATCAACCAATTTCGTAGTAGTTGTTTATCCGCAGCTCAACATTAATGAAGCTTCTATGTCTCTACTCTATCATCTCTGCGATTCGATTCTCTCTTCAATGGATTTTTCTGTCGTTGATTCTGTTCTTGTAAATTCTTCGACTAAATTGTGCGATACTTTGCTTTCTAATATACACGATATCAACATTCATTGAACTGATGATAATAACTTGGAATTTGATCAATCGGTTGATGTTGAATGGATCAGTAAGTATTTAATGTTTTGAGTTGTGTGAATTTTGTTTGTTTGTGTGTGCAGTATGATCTGCTAGTTTTTGTTATCTGTTTTATAAGTTGGCGTTGGAATTTGGATTGTAGTATTCATATTTGTTGAATTTTGTTGTTTTAGATTCGAGAGAAGAAGATATTTGTTCAAGGGCTTCTAAATTGTTATATCTTCTCAGCAGAGGTACTTTTTCTGTCATGTGATACAATTTTGCTCTGTTAACTAGTTCAACGTTATGTAACTTCAGTTGAATAATATGTAACTTATGTTTAGTAGTATGTAACTTTTGTTAAATCATGTGTAACTACTGTTTAGCTATCTATTTTATCTCTTCATTGTATGTAGTTGTTGTTTGTTTTGATATGTATGCTTTTTAAATTGTCAGATACATTGGAAACTGTTGATCAGGCAACTGAGAGTAAATCACTTATTGGATTTAGTGTCAAATTTGAACAGGATGCTTATAATCTTTACAATAATCATGTTTTTGATCATGGATTTGGTATTCGTAGATATAAACCGAGGTTTAGGAGTGGAAATGTAAGTTTGAGAATGAAGTCTTACTATTGTTGAAAAAAGGGGAAGAAACTACAAAAGGGTACTAAAAACAAATCGCATACGAAGTTAGATTATCGTTCAGGTTGTAAAGCGAAGTTACAGTTTTCTATTAGTGTTAATGGTGAATGGACTGCTTCGAAGCACATTATTGATCACAACTATGCTTTTTGTCCTATTGGTCAAAGACACTTGTTGAAATCATATAGAGGTGTTGATAGTGAGTATCTTGAGTTTATTATGTTGATGAAGGGGAGTGGGACAAAGGTTTCTGATATTCACATGATGCTTTGAAAACAATCTGGTGGTGTTCGTTCTCTTGGATTTACCAATCGTGATGTTTATAACGTCTTAAATCTGAAAGGAGTAAACCATTTGATGGCACTAATTCGAACACTCTGATAGGTATATTGAAGAAAAGGGCTGAAGTGGAATCTGATTTTTTCTTTGATTTTGATTTGGATGATGGTATCCTGAGTTGTTTTTTATGGAGAGATGGGCAAATGAGATCGGAGTACGATAGGTTTGGAGATGTGGTTATTCACGATACAACATACAGGAGTAACAAGTATGATATGATATGTGGTCCTTTTGTTGGTATGAATCACCACTCTAAAAACATAATGTTTGGTTGTGGCTTTATGCTGAATGAGAAGGTGGAATCTTTGTTTGGTTATTTGAGACTTTCTTGAAATCTATGGGTGGTAAGCACCCCATCACTTTCATGACAGACCAGTCATTTTCCATGGTAGCAGCTATCAAATTTGTTTTTTCAGACGCAAGACACAGAGTTTGCACTTGGCATATAGATGAAAATTCCAAGAAACACATCATGTTTCTACGCAAGAAATGAACTTTGTGCCTTTATTTGATTATGTTGTTAAATGATGTGACACTATTGCCGAGTTTGATTTCTATTGGACTGAGTAAGTAATTTATCTAATGTAACTTCTTATTTATTTGGTGTAACTTCTTTATTACGTTTGTGTAACTTGTGTTGGTGTTATATGTAACATTGTATTGGTTTTGCAATTGGTTTCAGCTTGAACAGAGTGTATGAATGCAATGACAATGAATGGTTGAAAAGGATCTACAGTCATAATGAAAAGTGGTGTCCTGCATTTTAAAAGAATTATTTCTATGTCGGTGTTCTATCCTCCCAAAGAAGTGAATCTACAAATAGATCCATATCTACAAGACTCTCAAAAACTGCAACATTGTGTGACTTTTACAAAATGTCTTGTGATGTTATTGAGGAATGGAGGTCAGAGGAAAACGGTCAATATTTTAGATGTTTAGAAGGCACTGTTGAGATGGTACTGCTGCAAGATAGTTTGTTATCTCATGTTAGACATGTGTATACCCTTGAGATTTTCAAACTATTCCAAGAACAATATTTGAGGGGTATGCCACATTGTTTAAATTAGTAACACAGAATTGTCATGGTTGTGTGTATCATATTTGGTTGAACGGTGTAGATTTGATTAGACACAACGTTACTTTTAATGGAAATGACAACATAGTGATATGCACTTGTAAGATGTTTTCAGAAGTTGACATTCTTTGTAAACACACTTTGCGCATGTATAACGTTCATTGTGTGAAATGTATTCCTCATGCTTATATAATGTCTAGGTGGACAAAGACTGCTATTTTGCCAAATATGGGTCGTTCTCGGATTGAAGCACCCGATACTCCGTTTGGGAAAATATTGGAAGATTCTGTGTGGAGAGTGCAAATGACTAGGAAATTCAACACAATATTGGATTCAAGTGCTAGTAAACCTGAAGCTAGGCAAGTATGTGAGCACGGTTATGACTTTGTTAAAAACTTCTTAGATATTTAGCAATGTTGCACTGCTGGAGATGAATCTGCTTCTGAATCGAGGACTGTCACGCCCCAGACCTACCCGGACACGTTAGACATGTGTCTTGAATACCATTCACACATAGTACATCCATAAACAAACATAATGTAAAACATTCATTTAAAACGGTGGAAGCATTTAATACAAGTGTTTATGCCACACTTTGGCAAACATGGGCATACAAGCCCCAATTAATTATTCAAAAGTAATATCCATGAGCATTATCATAATTATTTTGAAAACAGAACAGAGGAAGC